TTTGTGTGATTGAGAAGTTTTAATATATGAGATCAATTCCCCCTCCCCCGTAGCAAGCAATTGTGTAGGGCACATGGAACCAACAGTGATAGGAGCACAGTTTTGCACGTTTTGTTATCTTTTCCTTTATTCTTGGCCAGATACAAACTACACTTCTATGGGTGTAGTGGTAGTTAATCAGCCTGGGCAGGTGTCCAGTTTGAGTTCTCCTCCAATCATTTCCCCTCATGAAGAACCATTTGTGGCAAACTGCCTCACCTGTTTTTTTAAAAAAGACACAGGAAAAAAGGCACACAGAATTCCATATAGTACAGCGAGACTCACAGAGTGAATGAGCCTTGCAGTCACATCAGCTTAGACCACGGAGATTCTTGTTCATATCTCTGAATTCTTTAATTTCTGACAAATTACAACTGTCAGTGGTGCTGGGAGAGAAGAGTATAAGCTTTTCCTCCATACAATTTTTCTGAAAATCTCCCATCTGGGGAAAAACACCCCACTGATACGAAACATACTGAAGGAAAACAACTTTTGTGAATTGATCTCCACCTGATCTCCACCTCTCCAACTAATGTGAGAATCAACTTTCAAATTTTCAAAATGTTCTGATGCATTTCTCAAAAAGAAATAAAGATGGAAGAAGTGTACATTTTATTAGTTTATTTACCCCCCTTGGTATTAAACCATGATAGTACAAAAATATGACTCCTTAGTAGCTGTGCCCAGAATGTCATTTTCAGTCCATTTCATGGTGTGGGTTGGGTTAGTGTAGCCTGCAGTTACTTAGGCTACCAAGCTAAAATGGAGGACTTGTTCCATCATAAAAATGACAGTGCTGGATTACTTCCTGCAAAATCTGGAAGTCCAGGCAAGCAAATCTTCAAGGGATCGTTTCAGATGAGATGCCAAATGCCTGTCTGACCGAAACTGTAGGATACATGTGGGAAACCATTAAGCACAGTATGCACCTGTTATTCTTTACAGAGTAGTTGGGGTGGGTGGGAGAGAGCAAGCTTCCCTCAAAGGGTTAATAGCACCCCCCCCCCCCCCGTTTTCATTGAGGTGACAGTGCATGGGGAAAGAAGGTTTCATTTATTTATTTATTTACTGAACTCTCCCTGCCACAGTCCTGATCTTGCTTCCTCCCATCCACTTTCATGGCTGCTGTTGAAAAATAAAATAAAAAAGATTCACATTAAATGCTTGCAGTTAATGTGAGATGCTGTTGGGCACTTTGCTACTGCTCACTAATTAGGCAAATTTACAACTACAGTTTGCATGTTTGAAAAAGGAAGCTCCCATTTTCTTGGTTGCTGTTTCTTTGAACTTTATGGTGACCTGCCAAGGGCAGTCATGGCCAAACGTTCCTTTAAAGCTTTTGAAAAACTAAGGAAACCCCCATGATGTTGCAGTGACTGGTGTTGTTGTTTTTGGTTTTTTCTACACTGTGGTACTCCTGACTTTTTAGGGGCATGTGGTCCTTTTATGAAGTAAAACTGCTGTTCTGTCCTCTCTCTTTTGGCTGATGTATTTCCTCTTTTACCTTTGAAGAACTGTAGCACCATCACATCATCAGGCAGCCCCACCCATATTTTGGACACCTGAGAATGTCCTTTGAAGAAACACTTGCAGAGCTTTTCCATGCAAGGGCAGATCCAGATTGCCCCAGGGTGCCCTCTTGTTTGGAACGACAGGCCTTCCTATAAATACGCACATAGTTATTTCTCATGGGCCCCAAATGCCTGGAATAAAGCTGCTGAATGGGCAGGGGTGGGGAGCAGTTTAGCCCGCGTGCTCTGTGACCCCCCCCCCCCGGCCATAGCAGGGAAATTTTGCTTGTCAAATTTCGGTTTCTCACACAACTGTTCAACCGGGGTGGGGGCGGGGGGGGCTAACAAACCATCTGCATATGGCCTCCAAGACCTTCCAAAATCTGTCATGTACTTTTAAAAAGAAGCAAATGAAGTTTTGCATTTTGGGGGTTTTTCATTTACATTTTTGGCTGCTGCCAAAAGTTATTATTATTTATTATTATTTCTTGAATTTATATACCGCCCTATAGCTGGAGGTCTCAGGGTGGTTCACATAAAAAGATGATGGTATATCTTGTTTCTTGTGCAACCCTAAAGCCCCACATTTTAAAAATCAAATTTAAATAATTTTTAGAATAATAATAATATGTTACTTTCTGGTCCCCTAGGCACTCCTCTGTGATGCCAAAAAGGGTTTTTGTGGTTCCCCCAAGCCCCACCTGTCCTTTAAAGAAAACCTCACACATTTAAGTTCACCACACCTACTTTGACATTGAGCCCCTGGAGGTTGTGTGTGTGTGTGTGTGTGAATAAATCAACATATTTACAAAAGAGAGCAACACATAAAGCAAAGTATCATAGTAATGAATATATGTCATTTACATTCTTCTTTACTTTTGTAGCATTTTGTTTTGGTTTCTCAGATGTTCAAGTCATTTCAAAGAGAGTTTAGCTCTGTGCATCTTTCCATTAAAGACTATGTGTGTTCAGAGATCTCCACTCACGTTCCATGCAAGCAAAATATTTAATAAAGCAAAACCAGGTTACATAAAATGGGACACCATGGAGGGTTAACCTAGAGGAGCCTTTCTCAGCCTTGGATCCCCAGATGTTGTTGGACAACCACTTCCATCAACCCTGACCGCTGGTCTGGCTAGCTAAGGATGAGAGGGGTTGTAGTCCAACAGTAGCTGGGGACCCAAGGTTGGGAAAGGCTGACCTAGAGTGTTTATGTGGCCCTTGGGCTGAAAAGGGTTAGCTCCATCCCATGTTAAAGGAGCAGGTGAACAAGAGAATCACTTTGTGTGGTTTCTTTTCAGCCACCAGTTTCTATTTTTTGTATCTCAAGAAAGGTTTGATTTTTTTGGGGGGGGGATATTTTGATATTAAATTATAAGTAGATTTCATGCAGAGTGGGTGCTGACCATGTAAACCCCTTCCCAACCAGTCCCCTTGCTTTTCAGAAACTTTTCCTTCTCCCATATGAGTGCTGCCATTTCAGTGAGATCTTTGTGGGAAAGGTCTGTCAAAAGGCACAAAAGCAGGCCAGGTCCCACCCCAATACATTGATATATTGACAGCTCCAGCAATAGCAGCAATGCATTTACCAGAGAGAAAGTATTCTCCTGGATAGAAGCACTGGCCAATTTAAATGTTATTCTGAGCAGAGAATGAGAAAAATGCCATGCAGTTTGAGACATCCTTTTTAATTACATACATACACTGACTGGGGAATCTTTGCAAGTAGGATAGGCTAATGCCCCTAGTCCCCTTTTATTGATACAATATGCTATATAATCTTTTATTCTATCATATCCTAAGTCCCTTGTAAGGATGCACATAACTTACAGCTATGCCTAACATTACCACTTGACATGGCTTGTGCATGTTATGCCAGCATTATTAATTTTTACTATTTTTAAAAAACACACACATAGATTTGAGCCTGAGCTGAAGAATTCCCTTAGCAAATCCAAAAGCTGTAGCTATGTATGTCTAAAAACACTCTTCAAAAATAAGCTTATGGCTTTGCAAAGGGATGATCTGACTCTGAACGTTTCTGGTCGTCTGCCAAGTCAGCCTGGAGTATCGGTCACCAGGCTAGTCTTTAAGGGCGCACACAGAAGGCTCATCCCCAGATTAGAAATAGAAATAGCCATAATTCTCTCAAAAACAATGCTAAATCCTTTCCAGAGCTGAACAGAAAAGCCAAACCTGCAGTCAATCATGCAGCCCTTACTCCACGGGATCAGGGCGACCAAAGCTAAATTGACACCTCAGATTTACACTACAAAAGCCTGAACAGATTGGAAAATAAATTTGGCAACCGTTCAGCAAATCCACAACCTGAAATCAGCAGACAGCATCACTGTAGTAAGGCTGTGAAGTGCATCAATATGCAAAACATGTCTTTATGATCTCTAGGTTGGCATTATCAGGAGACTCATAAAATTCCACATGAAGATACACTTATAGCTGGTGCTCACAGTTCTCCTACAATCCCCCCCACCCAAAAAAGTCTTCTCATGCAAAGGAAGCTTCCATTCTTTTGGCTTGTTTGCAAAGCAAATCCTAAATTTCTTTTTTAAATTATGTGGGTATAGGGTTGAGCTTATTTTATGGTTGTGAGGTGGCTATAGGGTGGGGTGTGTGTGTTTCCCATCAAACTTTTCTCTAGCACTCAATCGTCTTCTTTCCTGGCTGATCCTCCTGATCTCTTAAAGCCCCATGTGATGTGTGTGACACGTTGCAGCTGGGGAGGCTGGCCACAGAGGGCCTGAGAGCAGTGCACTTTCACCTAAAAATAAATAAATCTGCACTGATAGCTCTTTCTATATGACCAGCGGCCAGGTGCACATGTGGACTTTTTTTTAAAAAAAGTATTGAAGTACATTTTAAAATGCATACTTTGTGATGTGATTCATTTCAGACAAGGCATGTTTAGAGGAATCTGAGCAGATTTAAAATCAATTGATCTCACACTAGTGTGGAAATGGGATGGACCACGTGGCAAAACAAGGGATATCTGACAAGCAGAGTTGTCCATCATTACATAGAGTTTGTGCCCAAGAATGATAACATCTGTAGAAAGTGATGACATCACTGCAACAGCTTCCCATGGGCTTGAAGCCAGGAAGCATTAGGTCGGAAGAGCCTGGCCTTAGTGGATCAGCCAGGAACTAGCTTTCCTGCTGTGATCTGTGAGTGTTCCTCTCTCTCCACAGGTTACTTAGCTGCTTTCGGGAGCTATGGTGCTTTACTATGTGTCAGTTATTACTGAGATAGCGTAATGAGCTTGTTAGCCTGTCAAAGAGCATGTTAATTTCACTTCAGCTTTGTTAATTTCCCTCCCTTTGGTAAGTTCCCTGACGCTGCCTCTGATCTTGATAACTTGACAGCAGTGCTGCTGTTTATGAGCAGTGCCAAACAAAACACATACTCCGGGGATAAGTGCCTATGGGGGTGGGGGATGACTACTAAATCAGGAGTATCCATAATGTTTACTGGAAAGAGACATTAATTAAAGCAGTATTTCAGGGCTCATAAGAAATATCTGGATGAGAATTCACGTAAATGAGCACACAGATGAATCAAGCAAAGCCCAAAGTGTAGTTAGCTTACAGAAGGCAGGATTCTTCACTAGTTTCATGCACATATTTGCATTATTTGTATGTGAATATAAAAGATGGGAGGATCCGTTGCTTAGCCAATGGATCAGCTGTGCTCTACACCTGAAAGGTCCCAGGCTCAATCCCAGCCATCCAGTTAAACAGATCTCAGGTGGCTGAGATGGAAGGACCATTCAAGACTTTGCCGGGAGGATAGGGTTGGGGTGAGATGTAGGGTGGTGTCCCTTAAATTGTGAGAACTGAGCCTGGGATCTTGGAGACCCATGGCCAGATAGAGAGATAAGCACAGCATGGGCTGAAATGGTCCAGTGGTCTGACTCAGTATGCAGCAACTTCTACACATATATTGTTCACTTATTTTGATTTATATTCTATTCTGTCCCAAGTTGTGAAAATGGTGTACAAAACACAACATTCACAATCAAAATGATACCACCTCAAACTATAAGGATTGCAAAAAATACCCCCAACAAACCCATATGTTACATTCTGGGTGGTCATTAAGTATATTCTTTCAGTTACTCCACTTAGTTAACAAAACCATATAATACAAACCAGGTGATACCAATCCTGCATTGCCAATGTGCTTGCATCTGCCATGTAAAATACACTAGCAGAGAAAGCTAGTAGAACTTGAAGCTTGCAGAACTAGACGTCCCTTTACCACCTCCCACTCCTACTGTGGAAATTCTGGAAGTGTTTGGGAACCTGTAGCTGTATCCGAGGCACTTCTCTGTAGCTGTGAAGAGATGTATTTTTGCTCCTGAAAACAAAAATCTCAAATATTCATTAGATTCATGTTCTGTCCACTGTCAGGCTTCTCATGCATCTCTCCAGCAACGACTGGCACCCAAATTGATAAAACCAGCTTGCACATGACAAAAGAGAGAAACTATATATGAAAATGGCAGGTCTGACACAATATAATGTTAAACAGCTGCTCAAGACAAAGGGAAAGTATGTTTGGCCATCTCTTTTGTCCTTGAATATGCTTTTCTAATCAAGGAAGTGTTGCATACTCCACTCCAGTACATAGCCCAGATCAAATCTTGTCATATCTTGAAAGGTACATAGGAGATAAAGGGATGGGGTCCCCCCCCCCTTTTGCAGTCATCCAACCATAAGTGACCACTGCCACCAGACTTTTTCATTATTCTTCATTTTCCAAGGATATCCCAATTTTATAACTTTATGTTGATCATAGTTTTCCTTTAGTAGCTTTCTAGATCTTAATCTTGTGGTCATTGCTCCCAAAGAATGGCGCCTTTCTTTATCATGGAAAGTTCACAGGCAGTTTCAAAGCAAACTTTTTTCCTGCATATTAAGAGTGAGTTGGTGCATAGTAATGCTGCAAGAACCAGTAAAATCCTGAAAAACTGAGCTTACTCTGTGAGGCGTCCTTTTTCAAAAGTCATGATTTCCAACACAGAAGCTGACACTTGTGAAATTCTCTGGTGCATTTTATTTTGGTATATGCCAGATGTCATTATTCATTGCTAAGTAAGACAACTGCAGTCATGAAGGGCTTCTGAACTCCTGATCAGATTAAGCATCATTTCTTAATTTGACTAAGGGGTCATCCAGAATTGCTTTTGTGCTGTGCTTTCCAGGCACAGGTCTGTGCTTTAAAGCTCTACGTCCAAGTGTTTTGTTTTTATGTCCTGGCACTCTCCCCAGGAAAATCTGTGTTTTGCTGCTGAATTAGAGCAAACAGGCATCCAAGGAAAATTTGATTGCACTTTTCTGCAGTGGCTCCCCACTTGTGGAATGCTCTCTCCAGGGAGGGTCGCCTGGTGTGTTTATTAGATACCTTTAGGCACCAGGTGAAAACCTTTCTCTAGAACTACTATGCCTTTGTCTGATTAACATTCTATATTCTTTCAAATGTGTTTGTGGGGAGTGTTTGGGGGGTTTTATGTATTTTATGTCCTCATTTTGCATTTTTATGTTGTGAACTCTGATCTTTGTATGAAGGGTGGTATACAAATTTAATAAATAGTAAATACTATTACTAATAATTAAAGCCCAGACCTGTGCCTAGAAACGCAGCACAGAAGGAAGTCAGAATAAGTCTTTATATGTAACTCTGTTATTCTATTTCATTTTTTTTTAATGAATTCCACTGTGCTGCTAAGGCTGCATTTTAAAGTGAAATACTTGTGTGGGTGGGGAGACATCTTAAAACATTTCCATTATAGTATTTTCCCACCGAAGAATCTCCCTCAAGTTAATTTTATCCATGTTGAGGGGGGAAATGTGGTTATTCATGTTTTCTTCATCGTGGGGGCATATTGTGTGTGTAATTTGCCAAGGAAAAATAATGCAAGGGAAAGGATTAAGAAACTCCTCTGTGCCAGTCTCATTCTCCAAACTTAGAATGTCTTAGGCATTGTATTGTATAAAAGAAAACAATCTCTGAAAATGCTTTCCCCTGTGTGCATAGATGATGTGAGCCTATTCTTGTTATCCAAATGTAATTTTATTGGTGCAGTTAGCGCTGTGCATTCAATACTCCAAGTAGCTCTGTGCATGCCAAGCTACTTTCCTCTGCTTCTGGGATAAGCCAAGGCATGGAGTCATCAACCTTTGGGGGACAGCGGGCACATTTCCACTTTTGAGAAAGTCCCTTGGTCACAAAAGAGCCGCTATGGGGTGCAACATAACAGAAAATAACAGATGCTCTGGGGGTGACATATCTAAGGGGAGGGTGCAGGCGTGCTTCCTTCCCTCCAATTAATGGGAAATAAGGCAGCTACATCAGGCACCACGGCTCTTGTTGCATGTTGAGGTCCCCAAGCCACCCCCTAAATAATTCACAATTCACACAGAATTTTTCTTTAGGGTTTTTGGCATAATTTTGGCCACAACTTTATTAAAATGCATAAATGTGAGTTGTTGCTTAAGTATTGGTTACGACTATCTGTCCCCGCCCCGGGACAGAACTGACTTCTGGATTCCAGCGAAAGCCAGTAAGGGAAAATCATATTGGGGAGAGAATGGAGCTGGGCACCATACCGTTACCTCTCCCTGCATGCTCCCAGGGGCTTGCGTGGCCCTAGCCCCTTGCCAGGGATTCGGACAAAAGCATGGCAAACCTCTGGATTCCTTTAATGGAATTCTCTTGCAGCAGCAGCATTGGAGGGGCAGGCACAGCCAACCCTTACCCCTCCACTAACCAAATTTTAACCAATGCCTACCCACAACCTTACAAGCTGTGATGATTTGCTACGCAGTAGGCAAAAAGCAAATGGCACCAGCCAATCTGTCAAATGGACAAAATTCCTACCAGGCCCCTGCCCCCAAAGCAGACAACCCCATGAGAGGCATAGCAATGTCAAACACAACAGCCCTAAATTAGGGAGGGTGGGCAGGCGATCCGATGCATGCAGCAAAAGAGACTGCACCAAGCTGCGTGCCAAGAATATAGAACCTTCAGGCCAACCCTCTAAATGGTAACATCAAAATCTCCCCAACAACCCAACTTGGCCCAATCACAGTCATGGCCATCCAAACGGTCCCACCCAGCAACTAAGGGGGTGTCTTGCTAGACCCCACCGCAACACGTGCTCTCCATGAAGGAGAACACGCTCTCACAAAAGAAGCTCAGAACAGAAGGGAGGGCATGTGCACAATCCTGGCATCCAATTAAATGTAGGCATATTTAAGGTGGCATGTGCCATGTGGGAGGTCAAGCCATTGCAAAATAAAAAAACCTGAGCAGAAACAAGTCTCTTGTGCTTTGTGGATTTTTGAGAGGTATTTACTTTGATGAGCATACTGGCCTCTACAGGGACTGTGTGGCAATGAGCACTCACACTTTACATTGCGGGATCGTGCGTGGTGCTACAGTTCCCAGGGAGCTTACTGGCAAACAGGGGCTGACTTGCCTCTCAGTGTTAATTTTTGGAGGTTCATGCCCAGCCTCAGTAATCAAATTTCTTGCTGGAGGTGGGGCCAGCCCCATTTATAAATAGGAGGTGGAGCCAACAACAGCCAGGCAGTTGGCTCTGAAGATTCACCCTCCCTTTGTTTAATGTTTCTTGTTTGCAGATAACTTTTCCTTCTTCTTTAGCGGGTGCTGCTGTTGAAGGACTGGGAATAAATTTTCTTGCATTAGCAGGTTTTGTCTTCCCCATAGCAATTTGTCACAACTTTTGTGGTTACGGCCTTGAGTAGAATCCTTTAGTCTTTTCTTCCCTATATGGGGGGGGCATGGTGCCTCACCCCCCTGCAGCGGCTATTCCAGGGCCCCCCTCTTAAAGGGGTTATATATATGGGTGTCACTGAAAGGTCATCAGTGAACCACCCTGCATGCAGGGATATAGGATATTTGGCTGCCTGCTACACTTACGTCTTGCAGAGCACCCCCATATCCCATTTACCCTGGTGAGCCCCAGTTCCCCCCGGCTGGGGGGCTGGGAGGGACACCCCCCCAAGGCCTAAGCCAAGGTCTTCCTACATTTGGAAGTTTAATAAAGTTTTGGCCTAATTTTAATTCCATATAACGTTTTCAGAGTCCTTATTCCTTCCTTACGATCCCTGGGGGCTGGGGCTGTCGCTGCCTGGTCTCACAATAGGAACTAAGATATATAATGTAAAAGATGAAATTAAAAAATACTTGCCTCTCCCTGATCAATCAATAAATGAAGTTTTAACTTGTAACTTCTAAGTAAATACAAAGAGAATTAACAAAGATAACCATTTACTGCTAGGCACTTGTTTTTAATCTGAAACAGCATTAAATAAGCACATTTATCTAATGACTCAGTAATGATCAAATGTAGCAATGAAGACTTTTTGGTCAAGAAGCCCAAGAATGGTCTGGAACTATGAGAAATAATTATAATAATGTTGGCATTTGTCTGTCTTGAGAGACAATGGAGTGCACCTCCAGGGATGAAGTAAAATCATTGTGTTAGCAGCGCTGAAGTGACCTCCCTGGGGCACAAGCCTGGGCAGTGTGTCTGGAGGTCCTGGGCCTCCCTGATGTGGTCCAAAGGAAAGCAGAGCAAGACATTTGGCACCTGCTTGGCTGCGGGAGTTACCAGAAGGAGAAGTATAAGGTGCCATCCAACCATTTTAGGGACTCCAGATTTGTGCAGGATTTACTCCTTAGCCTTTTCTTCTTCCAAAGATATCCCGCAGGGCAGTGGAGGTTTAGGATCAGAATTTTCCTTCTCCTAGATGGGCTCCTTTCCCAGGTTGATGAACCCCGTCTGCCCCTCACTACCTTCTACAACATGTGCAGAAACCGCCATCTTGACTGTTAGACCCACTATTGGTCTCATCTGCTCAATCCACCAGAGCCTGCCTTCACAAGCAGAGGAAGTTCCAAACTTACCAAGGGTTTAAGACCCACTGGCTACCCTCTCCTGATTTAGCTGGCTCATCAAAGCCACTGTCACATGCTGACTTCTTCTAGGGGCCACAGGTGAGAGCAAACTGCAGGGTGGAGACCAACGGTAGACAAACTCCAGAAGGACCGTGACATGTCCTCCACCAGAGGTACTACCCCTGCTAACAACCCATACACCCTCTGAGAATAGCAGAGAGCAAACTAAGGTAGTAACTGTTAGCTTATATGTGCCAGCCTATCAGATCAGAACATTCTGATAAGATAAGAGACCAAGCTGTCAGGGTCTCAAACAGGAATCCTCATGATCAAATGAATCATTTAAGACTGTCTTTGGCCACAGTTCAGAACCACCTTCAGGCAGAGAAAGGACTAGAGATGAGCAGAATCACCAGCCCCTATGGTTGTCAGGCAGGATTAAGTTGCTAGATTATACAAGGCTTGCTTTGATAGAAATAACCTTGCATTCTGCCTTTGCCAGGTTGACAGAATAGTATCATTTGTACTTCAGGTTCCAGGGTTTCTATCTTCCAGCTCAAGTTCTCAACTGTGGTTCCAAAACTGAGCTCAGAGCCCACTACCTCAGTCATGTCTTGACATAATTTAACTGGCCAAAACATTGGGGTTGGGACAATGTTGTCGCGTGAAGATATGTCCTACTAATTTCTTACAATCTGATTTTGTAAAATAAACACTAGCAGGGGGTTTGAGTGCAGCGTGTAGAACCTAAGAGCACATTGTGAGACCTCACAGTGTTGCACTTCCTTGGGGTGCCCAATTCATTTCTTGACTATGTCTCTGAGACAGTGGGTTAAGACTCCTCAAATGAGGAATCAGAACCCAATGCTCCATCCGTGTATCTAGCTGCCCAAGACCCCTTTGTAGTCCTCAGTAGAAATGCAATGTGAGTGTCAGGCGTGGAGTATCTTCTCCTCCCCCCAGTAGCCTCAGAAGCAAGAAGAACAAACAGTTCATATTTTATGGCTTTTTATTCAGTCATCTGGTTGCAAGACAAAATATCCATGTCTCCACACATAGGAGACGTTGGCTACTCTGAGCCCCTCCTCTTCCATCCCCAACAACATCCTGAAAATCTACGGGAAGTCCCAGGAGTCATACTCCTTTGCATCCTTTGTTCTTGAATGTGTAGGGACCTACAAGCCCTTGGTGAAGGAGGATCTTCCAGACTCTCCAGAGAGGTCTCTGCTGGCTGCTCTCTATCTTCCCCCTCCTCCTCCACTGTCTCGTAGCTAGACATTTCTTTACACAGCTGTGAAGCAGCCCTGTCTCCTTTTCCTTCTGAAACTGCTGGAGATGGGGGGGGGACTTCCTACTCCCCCCTTCTTCTCAGAGGAGCTAAGCAGACTGAGGGGACCTTTCCCATCTCTCCTGTCCAGACCATTCCGTGACAGTGAGCAAGGCTCTCAGCCACAACTCAGCTTCCTTTAAGATTCTTGCCAAGACATTGGCTGAACTTGCTTTACAATTTAGGTGCTTAGCTGAACTAGAACTCATGTTGAAGTCACATCCATTCCTCCTAGGATTTTGCACTGGGAGCAGTCCCAGGTCTTGATTTGTCTGATCCAACCCTAACTATTGGATCCTTGCCGCAGCTGAGTTTCTTCCTTTCCCTGTTCACCATCTCATGGGCTCACTGCTTTGCCAGAACAGGATATACTTAAAGTCATTGAGGCAATGCAGTAAATCAAAGAAGACTCTGACATACTACGATAGGAATATATATCATGTAATGATGTGCTCCAGTGCATTGTCTAGATCTAAATGAGCATTTTTAGAGGACAACTGAAAATAGGCTGCAAGATTAGGCAATTTCTGAGAAGTTAAAAATGAAAAGCAGCAAAAAGTTTCCATTCAGTCCTAATTACAACACTAAACAATGCGTGTGGGGGCTGGGTGAGAGAAGGATACAGAGATTGGACAAGTGGTGGCTGTTCCCCAGTGGGACTGGTAGGACAGAGGACCCAACAGTAGGTGGAGACAGAACCAATGACCAGGCAGAGTAAACTTATCCGGACTTTTGTTGTTATTGTTGTTGTTGTTGTTGCTGCTGCTGCTGCTGTCCCATTGCTCTCCTGCTGAATCAGAGCAAACAGCAATCGGGTTTTCCCTGGATTGACCAACCCCCCCCCCAAAAAAAACCCCTACCTGGACATGGAGCTTTGAAACCTGGACCTGTGCCGGGAAAGCCAGGCTCAAAAGGAAGTCTGGATGAGCCCTAACTCTAGTTTTGCCCCCATCCTCCTTCTGGCTGACTCGTCCAACCCAGACAGTAAGGAGCTTGGTGCTGGCAGGCAGTGTCACCCCTAGGCTGATGGTCCAAAGGGAAGTAGGAAGATGCGGGTCTGGTGGAGGGCACACCAGTATTGGTGGGGCAGGGCTCCATTTACCTCCGTGGACCAGGCTCTGCTGGATTTGACAATTACTCTAACAAAATCCAGTTGGTTCTCTGCCTTTATTCTCCAATAGCATAATAACAAATTGATATCAACCTAAAGCTAAGCAACCAATTAATCACCATTAGCTTCAAATGGGGTATCAAGTGCAGTATGATTGATTTCTGTACATAGGGATTGAGTGCTTTGAACAGGTGGCCAACTTATAACAACAATTTCAGACTCTGTGAAGGAATACTGTGTTTTACAGTGACATTAAAGTTCAAATGAAATATATCCTGCTGAGCTTAACAATTAGCTAATGTCACTTTAAAAGCCAGAGTAAACAAATCAGACTCCAATGCAGGCACTGGAGGGGGAAGCAGACACTTTGTGGTGTTAAGAGGGTTTGTGTTTTTAAAAGAGAGTTACAATGAAAGGAATGTTGCAGGAATGAAGATTCAAGGAGCCCTTCAGTGTTGACATTCAAAAAAAAGTCTCACATGTCAAATTTACCTAGAAAGGTGGATTTTCCATTATTGTCAAAGAGTTTGGGGTCTCAATATTAGATAATAACCAAAAGCTAAATTTTCAGAGAGAGGTATTGGGTCACATGAATAGGCTAGAAACCAAAGCAAAACAACCCTAAATAAACATTGAGTAGACATGAAAGTGGTTTATTGATAACCCTACTGGTCCTTCTTCAGAGAAATTGAGAGAACAATGACTCAACCTTCAAATGTGCTACCTCTTCTGAATTTCGAGTCACTATTCTCTGAATTTTCCCATATCAGGATTTATAGGGTCCTAAGCCCATTGGAAGACAGAAGTGCCTGGCGTGCTCTGGTCCATGGGGTCACAAAGAGTCGGACACGACTAAACGACTAAACAACAACAACAAGCCCATTGGTGTGGTTTTTTGGTGTGTGTGTTTGCTTCTGCTTCCAGTTTCCT